TATTTTGGGGGGCTAGCAGGTGGCATAGTAGTTAAGGGCGCTGGACTCCCACATGGTCAACTGCAGTTCAAGTCCCAGACCTGGCAGCTTGCTTTTTCACTTTCTCACTCTGTACCTCTCTGGTCAACTTAAAAAATAAATAAGGAAATAAATAAAGTTAAATAAAATAAATCTTTAAAAAAAGAATTATTTTTAAAACTCATTATTTTTTAATTTGCTCCAGGGCACGTGTGCTCACCAGAGACAGAGAGGAAAAGTGAGAAAGTAAGCACCAGGTTTGAGACTTGACTCACGGTCGGCCATGTGGGAGTCCAGCATCTCAACTACCATGCCACCTGCTGTCCCACCCCAGGGGCTGCTTTTCTAAAACGTATGTCTTCCTCTCTTCACAGCTCTAAAAAGGCTGAGGGACTCAGCCAATGCCAACGATGTGGAAACAGGTGAGTGGGCACAGAAGTCCAGCTGCAGGAACCCATGGGGTGGGTGGGCAGGCAGAGGCCAGGTGTGCACTGCCTGGTAGATAGCCCGCCAGCCCTCTGCCCTGGAGTAGGCTCAGGTACTTGTCTGCCTTTGCAGCCATTCTGAAGAAGGTAAGTCTAGCAGACATACTCACTCTGCCCATGCTCTGCTGTCATCCTGAACTTCCTGAGGTCGTAGCACTTACCACTACAATGCAACTTCCCTGGGACCAGCAGGTGGCGTGGTGGCTAAGGTGTGGACTCCCACATGGCCCTACCTGGATTGGAGTCCCAGACCTGGTGGCTTGCTTTTTCACTTTCCCTCTCTGTCTCTCTCTGATGAGCCCACATGTCCTGTAGCAAGTTAAAAAAATAATGATAAATAAAATTATGTAAATAATTCTTTACAAAAGTAAAAATAATAAATATATCCTTAGGCCACATGCTAGAGATATAAAAAAAAAAAAAACCCAAAACATTATTTTTCCTTGCAAAGCTTTAAGGCCATCTTTGTAGCCTACCGATTAAGGGAACCAGAGTCCATGTGCCAACCTGGTTCAAATCCTGGCCCCAGCAGCTTGAAAGACATGCTAGGCACGTGTGCATACATGCCCCAGATCCCATAGCTCTGAGGAATGAAGGGATTACAGCATGACCACTGCCCAGGAGTGCTTTCTCCCTCTCCCTCTCTCTATCTCTCTGTTTCTTTCTCTCTCTGTCTCTGGGAAGTGCACACACCCTCTGGCAATTAAAAAAATATTTAGGTTGCTACTCAGATATTCCAAAATAGTACAGTTTTTGACTCCCTGATGGTGGCGACTGCATCTGCTTTTGAATTCGTAGCCCTAGGAAGAGGGTCGGTGTTCTTTTGGAACTTCTGCTGAATGGGAGTGAATGCTCAGCTCTAACTGCCAGGCGACTGTCTGCACAGGCCACCCTCTTCTGCTGCTCAGCCGGAGTTAGACCCAGTGGCTCCCAAGCGCGTTCAGTTCTCAGAGCACCTGGACGGCCTGGGTGGGCTTCCCAGCAGCTCACCACTCTGCTTTGTGTTGGGGCTCTCCAGCATTCACTAGCCACCAGGACAGTAGCAGTGTTGAAGATACAGAGACAGTTGTTTATTATTTTTATTTTTTAATTGCCAGAGGGCACAATTCAAAGAGAGAGAGAGAACACTCCCCAATGGGCATGGTCACGGCACAATCCCTTCTCCCTTTCTCCATCCTGTTGGGATTTGGGGCATGTATGCACTCAGGCCTGGTGTGTTTCTCAAACCACCGGGACCATTCGCTTTGTGGGATCTGCCTCCCTTTACCACTAGTGTGTGGGGCTGCCCTGTGTAAGAGTAATTTATAGAATAAAAATATTAATTTTATCCATTGACTTCATTATTTCTGTGGGGACCAGCAGGTGGCAAGGTGGTTAAGGTACTGGAATTCCGGGACCAGCAGTTAGCATAATGGCTATGTCTCTGGACTCCCATGTAGTCGACCGCGGTTCGTGACCCCGTGGCTTAAGAACTCACACCGGGTGCGTGCGTGCGTGTGTGCCCAAGATTCCGAGAGGAGAATGGAGGAGAAGGGATTGTGGTGTGGCCAGCCCCCAGGGGGTGATTTATCGCTTTCTATCTCTGTCTGTCTATCTGGCGAGTGCATGCGCCTTACAGCAAAAAAAAAAAACTCTCAAAAAAAAAAAGGTACTGGAATTCCCACATGGCCGACCACGGTTTGAGTCCTGGACCTAATAATTCTTTTTAAAAAAATTATTTCTGTGAATCAGGAAAATGTTGTATGTTCATTTTCTATGACTGTTTTAACAAATTGCTACAAATGTAGCAGCTTAAAGAACACATATTTAGGGGCCAGCAGGTAGCATGATGGTTAAGGTGCTAGACTCCCACATTGCCAATTACAGTTCAAGTCCCAGACCCAGCAACCTGAGGGTCACACTGGGTGCATGTGCATGCATGCTCAAAACCACGAGAGGAGGCTAGAGAAGGTTTACAGCATGGCTCTCTCTCTTGGGGGATGATTTCTCACTTTCCCTCTCACTGTCTCTCTCTCGAGTGAGAGACAGTGATTTTTGCCCTGTGGCAAAAATCTTTTTTATGAAAAAAAAAAAAAAAGAACACATATTTATTCACACACAGGTCTGTAGGCCAGAAATCCAACCCAGGTCTCACTGGCCAGACTAACACTCGGCGTGAGCAGGCTGCCCTTCTTTCTGGAGGCCCTTGGGAGAATCTGGTCCCCTGACTGCACTTCGAGAGGCCATCCACACTCTTCCTTCGCCTCTGGAGCCAGTAACAGCGCTGAGTCTCCTCACGCTGTCCCCTCTCTCGTTCTCACAGCCAAGAAGGTTCTCTGATTTTTTTAAAGAATTATTTTATTTAATATTATTTATTTATTTTAATTTGACCAGAGAGGGACAAGAGTGAGAGAGAGGGAGATGGAAAGTGAGAAAGATAAGCCCCAGGTCCAGGACTCGAACCGTGGTTGGCCATGTGGGAATGTAGCGCCATTAACCACCACGCCACCTGCTGGCCCAGGTTCTTTGATTTTAAGGACTCAACATGATTAGATAGGATCCCTGGATTATCTGGGATCATCTCTAGGTCTTTACCCTGGTCAAATCTTCAAAGCCTTTTTTGCCAAGTAAGGTTAGATATCGCCATATTCCAGGGATTCTCTGTGGACAGCTTTGGGGCCATTATCTGTCTTCCTCAAGTGGACACGCTCTATCTCGGTGGCATGATGCTGTGGATCTTGAATGTCAGTTTCTGTTGAGGGCCGTGGCCAGGGGGTATCTCTTCCATCAGGTGCAGAGGGCCGCCTCCCCCAGAGAGCTGGCGTGTTGCATCACAGCATTGAGCTGGTTCCTGTGCTCCTGCCCTCGCTGAGTCAGCAGGCCGGGGGACTAGAGAGTTTCCATATCTCCTCTCCTGGGTCTCCTTCCATTAACTTTAATATTTTGGACTTTGTTTTTTGGGAGATAGTTTTGCCCTAGGGAACATGCAATCACCAGAGAGAGAGAGAGCAAAAAAAAAATCACCCCCGGGGGGATGCCACACCACAGTCCCTTCTCCTCCTCTCTCCTCTCAGGATTCTGGGCATGCACGCACACGCACCCAGCATGAGCTTCAAATTGTTGGGTCCAGAACTCGAACCACAGCTATGTGGGAGTCCAGGGCCTTAACTACATGCCTCCTGCTGGCCCCTATTTTGGACTATTTAGGCGGCTCCCTAGATAGCTTTTGAAAGAAAAATAAGCATTCTCTCTTTTTTTTTTTTTTTTAATATCACTGATGTGTGGCCAAAGAACATTTTAATTATATTTACCCTGCACAGAAAATCTAGTTTGTTCTGAATCAGGTGGTTTTACTATCTTGGCAGAAGTGCTGTAATTTTCCACTCACAGCCTCTGATTTACCAGGCCTCTGACGACTCTGATGGTGAAATTCACCGTCAGATAGCCTCTTCACTGCTCTGCTTTCGTGGCTAGTGTTTTATGTTCTTCTCTGCACATCTGCTGGGCTTTTGTGTAACTGAGCAAACGCAGTAGACATAAAATTGATACATTGCTATTGTTAAACTGTAAGTACTTTTCTATAAATCAAGACTCATTTTATTTTTTTAAGAATTATTTTTAATTTAACTTTATTTATTTATTCATCCATTCCAATTTGACCAGAGAAGGACAGAAAGAGAGAGAGGGAGAGGGAGAGAGGGAAAGTGAGACAGCAAGCTGCCAGGTCCACGACTCGAACCACGATTGGCCATATGGGAATGTCCAGCGCCCTTAGCCACCACACCACCTGCCAGTCCCCAGAATCATTTTAAATATGAAAATAATATATGCATCTACTATTTGTTTAGAAATTAGAGAGATGGAGAAGAAAAAACACCCATAATGTCAACAAAGGAACCAATCTCTCTCTATCTATATTTTTTAAATTATTTAATTTAATTTTATTTATTTATTTTTATTTGACCAGAGAGGGACAGAGCACAAGAGAAAACAAGACAGCAAGCTGCCAGGTCCAGGACTCGAACCACTGTCAGCTATGTGAAAGTCTAACACCTTTAACCACCACGCCACCTACAGGCCCCATCTGTTAATATTTTGGCAAATAACCTGCTAGTTCTTTTTCCTATGCATTAGGATTAGTTAGTTAGTTTTTGCACTCACCAGCTAGACAGATAGGGAGGGAAAGTGAGAAATCACCTCCCAAGGGGAGATATCCACACTGCAATCACTTCTCTATTCTCATAATTCTTGGCATATGGGCCCAATGTATTTTTCAAGGCCCAAGATTTGCTATTTTTTTTTTTTAAGTTTATTTCTTCCACAAGCAAGAGAGACAAAGAGAGGGAGGCAGGCATCCCCAACAGGGTCTTTGTGCTGCGATCCACCCGGGACTAAGAGCATGTGCATGGCTGCCTGGGGTGTGAAGGGTGACCTCAGGAGACAAACCCAGGGCTTCCCGCGTGACCTCAGAATCACGGAGTGTTGCATGACCACTGTGCCACTGCAGCTGGTACAAACTTTTTTTTCTTTTTTATTTAAAAATATATTTTATTTTTAGATTTTTGTCATAGGGCAGTGCACTCACTAGAGAGAGACAGAGAGAGGGGAAGGTCATGCTGCAGTCCCTTCTCCTCCCTTCTCTCAGGATTTTGGGCACACATACACAGATGCCTGGCATAAGTTCTACCTGGTACAGGATTCGAACTGTGCAGTCAGCCATGTAGGATCCAGCTGCCTTAACCTCCATACCACCTGTTGGTCCTTTTTCCTTTTTATGAAACAAATACATGGCTATATGATTTGTTTAAAGCTTACAAGGTAGAAGGCAAAAAATCACCTTGTAATTCCATTTGCCAACTATAACCACAATTTATTTTATTTTATTTTTATTTTATTTATTCATTTATTTAATTTGATCAGAGAGAGACACACACACACAGAGAAAGAAAGTGAAAAAGCAAGCCACCAGGTCCGAGACTCGAACCATGGTCAGCCATGTGGGAGTGTCCAGCACCTTAACCACCATGCCATCTGCTGGTCCCCAAACCACAATTTTTAATAGATGTACACTGTTCCCTCAGAGGAACAGAGTGAGAGTCACTTAATCAGTCAGATATTTACACACTGGTTTTTATTGTTAAATTCTGTCCCAGGTGGGGCCAGCAGGTGGCGTGGTGGTTAAGGCAGCTGGACTCCCACATGGCTGACCACAGTTTGAATCCTGAACCTGGCAGCTTGCTTTCTTACTTTCCCTCTCTCTCTCTCTCTGGTGAATGTGCATGGCCTGTAGCAAATTAAAATAATAACACATCAAATAATTATTTTTTAAGTGATTTTACTTAGCTTTATTTAGTTATTTATTTTATTAGACTAGACAGGGACAGAGAGAGAGGAAGGTGAGAAAGTAAGCCACCAGGTCTGGGACTCGAACTGTGGTCGGCCATATGGGAGTCTAGTGCCCGTAACCACTATGCCACCTGCTGGCCCCTCAAATAATTCTTTTTTTGGGGGGGAGAGGTTTTTTCACTATAGGGCGCCTGCACTCGCCAGACAGAGAGAGACATAGAGACAGAAAGCAAGAAATCACCCCCCAGGGTGTTGGTCACGCCACAATCCCTTCTCTTCCATTCTCTTCTCGGGATCTTGGGCACGCACGCACATGCGCCCGGTGTGAATTTTAAGCTACTGGGTCCGGTATGCGAACCGCGGTCAACTACGTGGGAGTGCAGCAACATAGCCATTACGCTAACTGCTGGTTCCCCAAATAATTCTTTAGAAAATAAAAACAAAACAAAACAAAAAAAACTCCATCCCAGGTATGGGATTGTTCTATATGCATTTTTTTTAGGGTGAGAAATCACACCTCGGGGGGATGGGCACACAGCAATCCCTTCTCCTCCATTTGCCTCTCAGGATTTTGGGCACACGTGCACATATGCCCAGGATGTTTTAAGCCACTGGGTCCAGGGCTTGAACTGTAGTTGACTATGGTGGGAGTCCAGTGACATAACCATTATGCCATCTGCTGGTCCCCCATATGCATATTTTGATGGCTCCTGACAGAGGTTGACTCTAAGTGTACAAATCACAGAAATACAACAGAACTGGCTATTTGAGCTTTGCCTTACCTGTTTGATTCTGGCTGTCTTCTGTTGGACGTTCTCATAAACACTACGCTGACCTGAAGCTCTCACTCCTCCTCCACTCTCATCACCGTTCTGTTGTCATGCATTCATTCAGCCGCTAATACCAAGGTGATAAAGACCTGCAATATGGTTGGAGAGGAAGAATATAAAGAAGTGATACTATTTCTTTTTTTTTTTTGGAGAGGTTTTTTTCACTATAGGGCGTGTGTGCTCGCCAAGCAGACAGAGAGAGACATAGAGACAGAAAGCGAGAAACCCATGGGGGGGATGGTCACGCCGCAATCCCTTCTTCTCCATTCTCCTCTTGGGATCTTGGGTACGCACGCACACGCGCCCGGTGTGAGTTTTAAGCCACCGGGTCTAGGACGCAAACCACGGTCGACTACGTGGGAGTCCAGCGACATACCCATT